TTAGTGACTGTGGGAATCAATACAGCTTGAGCTAGTGATGTTACTTTGTTTAGGTTACAGACAGAAAATTAAGCTCAATAGACAAAAATGAACATTCAATAAAATGCAGTGATGGATAACCACTTGATCAGAACTACTCCACATGCCCTGTCAATATAAACTAATAAACTCTAGTAATTTTGCAGAATAGAGTTGTTTTCTTTACTTTTCACCACTGGTGCCAGCAACACCAAAATAGAATCTTTGTTTAGAAACATGCGGAATACTAAACAGTGAGAAAGGAGTGAGGGGTCAAGGAGTTAAGTGTCCAACAATTCGATTTGGTGCCCACAATTACTGGTCATGAAGCAAATGACTCTTTGGAGCTCAATCACTTTGTTCTTAAAATCACTGGGACAACATACAATGAAAAAAGATCTTTGTTAACAATGCATTTAATATGATGTATACCCATTTTCCAACATAATACCTGAAATCCTAAAAGGCATATTTTCCACCTTATATAAGGAATAATGTAATTTCTCCCTTAGTGAAGCCCATTCATGAATCCAGTTAATTCTTGATACTTTATATGCCACAGACACTGACTCTAAGAGCTTGAAGGACTGTTTCTCCTGGCTTTCATTTCACCACTGTTACTTAATGACTTGATATGAATTAACCCTTCACTTCATTTGCCCTTTATTACCCATGTCCTTAGGTCTCAACTCATTAAAGAATAGAAATTACCAATAAAACCTGCTGGACTGTACTCCTCCTTCCAAAAACCAGGAGTGTGTATCACACCGCTGTGTGGTTAATAACAGGACATTGAGCAGCCTATGAAATGTTTTCACTGTTCAGCTACTGTTTTAGGCAACTGACAGAGTTTTTTAATAATATACATCATCAGGTTGGGCGACATTCAGGCTCTCATCATAACAAGTTCCATAAACACTGCAATGTTTCTGGTTGGTCCAAATTAGATAATTGTTTAATCTAAAAAATTCCTTATCTCAAGTGGGTTTGATTAGTAAAACTCAAATCTACTTGTGTGTAATAAAAATACAAATTTATTACTGAACACTCAGAAAGGATATATTCTTAAAGTGAACCAATAATATTTGTGTTCAATATATGAGCAAGTACACTCAATTATGAGCATATATAGTAAAACATAAAGCATAATATGCCATTGCAGATTGCATCCATAAAGGATACAATTTAAGGTTACAGGAAATGGTGCTGCTACATAAACCCATGATATATATCACCTTTTAAACTGTAATTAATGCAACTTAGACCTGCTTTCCCTGCTTACATTTCTCTAAAATTAACTGTACATTATTCAGGATTTGGACCCTCATATCTATAGAACTGTTTATGACTGGTTATTCTATGCGTTTGCAGGACCTGCAAAACAAAGGTACGCAGGAAATTTACTGCATCGGTAGTGTATAAATCCAGACTTTTAGGGCCTCAGAGCCTTCTTGTTTCCATTCTACCTGAAATATTACCGAGCTAATTGCTTGAACTTTAATTGGAATCAATTTAAAACATCTCTAAGGTCTTAAATGCTGATAATTTATGGAGGTTGCAGGATTGAAGCACTGCACAGGAACTGCAGTCATGGATAACCTACATATAGCACATGTCATGATACACTGCCTTCATTCAAGAAACACAGTAGCTTCCTTAGATCATTTTGATACTAACTACCAGACAGGCTGGATGAGCTGAATGGCCTCTTCTCATTTGCAACCTTTATGTTTTTACAATCTGGCAAAGCCTACAAGGTCCAGCTTTTGTTGAGACTTCTAAAAATCATGATTATATTGCTGAATACAGAGGTCTTAATGCAATGTTTGTTAAAAAGCCAACATTAAGTATTTGAACAGTTAAGCTTAACTAATGCGTTTCTAACAATGAAAAAAATAAATTTTAATCAGCCTAATAGGAGGTGAAACAATTAAGAACAATGAAAATTTATGGGGGAAAAAAACTTAACCATTTGTAGTCTGCTACCCACATAAAACTCACATTCTTGTCCATTAGTTTATCACATTTGTATGTAAATAAGGGCATATTTTCTTTTTCGTTTGTTAATCTCTATAGTGATGGCAAAAATGAGGAAGGGTATAATGAATTTGACAAGTTCAAAGACCAGCGGTTGGGTGAATATTTTTGTACAGAATATATTGGGAAATTGAATTGAGCAAGAAGCAATGATGAAGGAATTCACTGCTAGAAGACAATACAAAATAAATTATGAAGCAATGTAGAAGATGTAATCCAGAACAGAGTTGAGAAAAAGATGGAGACATCTCAGTACATTCTTTTAAAAATATGAGCTACTTGAATTACAGAAAGTAACTGTACAGCACAACTGTTGAAAGGGAATTTATAAAGTTTTTGCAAAAAACATTACATAATTTGAGAAAAAGGAATACGTTTCTAAATGTCCAACACCAGACAGACTAAACGAACCTAATGGCTTCCTCTCATTTGTAACGTTTATGTTATATTCATCTAGCAAGGAATACTGTACCCAACAAAACAGAGTTGGCCAGCAACATACGAGAGCGGTTGTATAAAAATACATTTCCATTTTATTCAGTTTGTGACCAAGTACTAACACTGCTCTGATTCTTTAGTAAAATATAGTGGTTAGTGATACTTATGCAGAAGAGCTTCTTGAGCTCCAGAGTCTGTTGCATAACAAAAGGTCTGATCAGTTACTGCTACAGTGTGCCAAGTTACCAGTTATAACAGATGGCACCCCAGCAATTATCAGCAAAATGGGCTGACAAATATAATTTGCAACACGGAGGTAGTTAGACTTTACTGCATCATTCATCAGCAAGTCCTGTGAGCAAATGTGATACAAAAGGGAAACATACTACAAAGCTAAAGAATTTTAGCTAGTCATGATTACTTGAGCAAAGGTAATTTAGAAACTTTTGTCACTTGTGCAAACAGAATATGGAAATTAAAAAAAAACATGCCCATAAGCACTGGGTTCATGGATGATTAATAACAAAAAAAACTTTTCTTTCCCTTAAGATCGATGTCCCCGGGGAAGTAAATTAACCCAATAATACCCTCCATGAGAAATGGGGTATTGTTTCATAATTCAAATGTCGTGGTATTTCTAATAGCTGAGAATTATGTCAATGAGCAAAATGCAACACTCTTCTCATTAAAAATGCAAGGAAAGTAAACTATTTCAAAGTCAATTGAGAAATACAGTACATGGGTTTTAAATTAACCATAATTTCAGTTAAATACCTGCTTATTCCTTTACAGTACTATAGAAGAACAAGGACCTTTCAAACCAATTTAGTGATACATTTGTAGAAAAGTACACATGAAGAGAAAAAATTACTGAATTACACATCTATTTTATTGTATATGTATAACTTGTAACTTGAATCCTTGCTCATTTAACAAGGATAAGTGTACAGAAAAGTTACTGTATGTGATGATGTAGGGACTTTATGTCACCCAATGGTTTTGGATTGCATTATGATATAATACTAATCAGTACATCTCAATGGATGACAATCACAATGTGCAGTTGTGAGTTGCTAATCACAATGTGCAGTTCCTTCCAAAAATATTCAGGGCTCTATGCTTTCCAATTTTGTGAAAGGGTAATAACACTTATGTAATCATTACTATTTCTTATTGACACTGTTGTTGCTTTAAGTGTTGAGAAGGATTTTTACTTATTAAATATTCATTGCTAGTTCAAAGTGTCAGGATTGCAAATTTTAAAGAAATAAAATGTGAAAACTGTGCAAGGGTCTAAATACTTTTGTAAGGTACTACAATAGCCCATTTATAGGTTAAGGGAACCATAACATTTGCAGATTTTTTTCTCCCATGAAGATCGCATTTGATCAGTTGTGTGAGTAAATGTTTCATTGCGTTCTACTGACTCAGCTAGTCTAGTCTTTTTTGAAACATGTAAAAATAAAAATATAAAACAGTCAATGACATTATTCTGTGTGATTTGTAGTTTATAAACAACCAACATGGTATGATATGGTATGATGGCTTCAAATGGAATTCCACTCAAAGGACTTAATTTAAAGGTAATGCATCCTCTGTATACGAGTCAAGACAAAATTTAGGAACTTAGAAATTGTTGTTAAAGAGAAAGCACAAATCAACAGAACTCATAATAGACATAATAATGTGTCTAATATGTGCCATGCTTACAAGGGATGAAAAATGAAGAACCATTCAACTGTATCCATAGAAACAGAAGCCACATGTGTCAAGAGATAACGTTATTATATATATGGTGGTGTTCAATGCTGATATTTATGAACTGCCTGTTGTGGCTAGAGAATACTAGGTTAAATCTAGGTAAGACTAGGCACTTTAATATGACCATGACTCAATACTTCCAAAACACATGACCTTTGGTATAATTTAAGGGGGAGGGAGACTTCTCCCAGCACTACTAGCATGTAGCAGAAATGGATATGATTGTGGGAGGCACGGTGGCACAGAGGTTAGCATTGCTGCTCTGCATTCTGGGACCCTGGGTTCATTGCCTGCGGTGCTGTGTGGAATTTCTATCTTCTCCCTGTGTTCACGTTGGCTGCCTCCGGGTGTTCCAGTTTCCTCCCACCGTCCAATGACATATGGGTAATTGGTTTCTAAGAATATAGGCCCTGGAGTGATTGTGTGCCCTGTAAGAGACTGATGTCCCGTCCAGGGTATCCCGCCTTGTGCCCACTGCTTGCCGGGATAGGCCCCGGCTCCCTGACAACACTGTAATGGATACATGGATATGAAAGTGATCTTTAAAACAAAACTTACCTAGAAATGACTTCAAAAACGTATAGTATAATTAAGTCTATTCTATGTAAATGAATTTAAATTTAATGAATGTCAACTACATAAAGCATTTCCAGGATTAATCTTGTATGTACACCACAGAACTTTATAGTTTTTGGCCATCACAGGACTCAAGAACACAAAATATATGTATTTAAATTAGGTCTTACCTTCTGTGTTTCCACCTGGAGGTTTATAAAAAGAAAGGCCTAATGAAACTATGGCTGCAACTTCTAGAATAATTAGCGTTACATCTTGCAATGCTTCCCATACTAATTGTAGAAATGTTTTTGGCTTTTTTGGAGGTATAAAGTTCTTTCCAAACACTGCTTGTCTTTTCTCAATGTCTGCAGGATTGCCACTTAAACCTGAAAAAGAACATAAAAACTACAATTAACAAAACATGAAAGATCCACTTACATTTCTACAGAGTCATAAAACAAAGCAGAAAAATAATGCCAACAAAGCTATTCCGTACCTGATTTTGATCACTGACAACAATGCACACATTAACATCCTTTCAATGCTTTTGAACCAATTCACAACTACAACAGTTTTAATTTGAGCAGCATGTGAGAAAAATAAAACACCTGTCTATCTGTAAATTTTCACAAACAAATGTTACAGATCAGAAGTCCACAGGCTTGACTATGTCAATGCTTTTAAGGAATTTGAATATTTGGATCTGGTTCTTTCATTTTTTTCTTAAACCAAAAAGATTCCTTCTGCATGTCAATGCAGGGCATTTCTTTAAAGCTCCATGATTTATCTGAGGGCTCATCTGTGCACTTATTCTATAACATCAATACCTTTAATAACATTGGAAATTGTACACGATATTGAGGTTTTACTTAAATTCTACACTTCTATCTATATATTCTAATATTGCTTGTCTTTTATTTCTCTCACAGTGCAGAAGATTAAACAGCTTTGTATTTCATAAGCAGCCTCTTCAACTACAGTTTCTCATGTTTCAGTTGATATTTTTAATCACTTGTCTATATTAATCTGTATGTCATCTGCCAGGTGTTACCCAATCATAAAATTCAAGATTTAAATAAAATTCATGTGCTGGCCCTACAATAGTCTCCAATCTTTCAATTTTAGAGTTTTCTCTAAAAAACAGAATCTAGAGATTAAGATAACTTGATGAATTGGAAATAACCATAAATTATACTACACTTTAAATAGTGCACATCCCACAAATACATTGATACCATGACTTTGACATTAAGCCCATGCTCTAAATAACTGAACTAACCAGCCACATTAACGAAATATTGCAATTACATTTTTGAGCTACTACGATGGTAAAGTTTTTTTTAACATATCCTATGTAAAAGGGTTTACATGAAAAAGGCAGCAGGAACCTCTACATGTATGGAAAAAAGAAAATAAGGACTAGTATGCAACATATAGTTGAGAAATCTTTCAATACCATAAAAATACTAAGCAGTTTTTTACTTTAGCAAAAGACGCTGCTCACTTAAGATTTATAAAACATTGTATTGCTTTTAAATTAAAGAAATATCCTTTAAGAACTGCAAAGTATTCATTACTTATTATGAAAACATGAAATGTACATAAATCGGTAACTTATTTTTCTAAAACTATGACTTCACCATGTTATGTAGGAAATACTACATCCATAGAAGGAAATAAAATGCAGTAAAAACATGGTATCCACAAAGGTTAGGTTCCTTGAAGTCTCCACTAATACTGAATTTGCTAAAATGAAACGTAATACCTTATACAGAAATATAGGCTATATTCCATTATGCACACTTGCGGTCCTCTGCCATTCACATGAGCGTTCCCACTCATGTCTGCAAGGAGTTAGGCCGTCACATTTATCAATTTGTTTCACAAGGGCGCTCACAAGCGCCCCCAATGCACCCTTCTCTGACATCTGCATCAGAGCACACTTTGCTGAAAGGCATTACCCCAAATTCCTTGTGGAATGGGGACATGTTCTAACCTCTAAAAGCAAAGTGAAGCAATGGAAAATAAAATATTCATGTCAGTAGAATTTAACTTTTTTTTAGTGTTAAAATTCTATTTTATGTAAAATCAAAATTTCATTATCTTACTTTAGATTCATATATATTCCAGATATGAAGTGCTGACATTAAGGTATTATTTCTTTACCCCATTCCACCAAATGAATATTCGTTGATCGACTATGTATTTCAGACACAAAGAAAGTTTTGAGGTATTGCCAAGTTTATTTAGTTTTACTTTGTCCACTTTCAATCAATCCTGTCTAATGTGAATGAACACGTTATGTTCCTCGTACTGTACTTTTTATACTGTGACAGACGAGTTGAAATGTTTTTAATAGTACAAAGCTCTGAATAAACAGACCTCTACTTTGCCCGTTTTGAGTCAAGCCTGCTCATCGGGAACGAGCACGATATGTCATGAATTCTGTACCGGGACAGACAAGATGACATTCAATTTGATCAAACTATGAGCAAAGAACGAAAAAAAACTTTAAAACAATTCTCTCCTTGTGGAATTAGCCACTGGAAAAGAAGCAACATGAAAGCAGCAAGGAAAGCCGTGTAACCAACGGTGCATGCTCGAAGGCTCATGCTATGTCACAGAACTATGGACTTGGAGGAAGGGCATAGGGCTTGATGCGGCATTTGGGACACAGTGTATAGCTCCACAGCTCGCAGAATCGTACATTTTGGTAGTAAAATGTGTTATTACAGTTCAGAAAGACTGTCAGTAATTATTTGTAGTATTTTTAATGAAAATGACTACTTCCCCCCTGCAATTAAAGTTATTACATGTGCAAACAACTAAACTAGACCACCGTTAAGATATTAAGAGTTTACCTCATATTAGAGTTAGTTTTTTTCATTCTTAGTAGAGTGTTTACTTTTTACGTCGTTATTATACATTATAAATGCAGATACTGTTATTACAAACTAACAGACAAGAAAATAAATTGTGCGATTCCTTCCCACCCAAACTCACTTTTGCTCTCGCAATTTGTCTTATTCTCTTATAATTTATTTTATCCTTTTCCATGAGGTAGTTTTAACATTTCTTTTATTTTGCAGCACAACACTGAGTCACATATCTGCATTACTCTGATCAGTCAGCAAACCATGCAAGATTAAAATGCTGTGGAATGGGGTCTCCACATTTACTCTCCTACTGTACAGCCTATATATAGACCAATTTGGTCTGCAGATGCAGAAAAAGTGGTTAATGACCCAATAGGGGAAATCACAAATATCGAATATCGAGGTCCTCAAAGCAATGCATGTTCCATATTTCACTACAAATTACCATTATACAAGTGCTAAAACAGCTAATATTAAATTAACTAAATGGTATTGTTTTCTATAACAGATACTGATGAAAACTGTATAAATAAGCAGTTAGTCCGTGTTATTGTTAATGCTATATTTTACTTCATTTGCCAAATGGGAATTTGTCTGTAATGTTCCATGCAACATTTGGTTGAAGACCACATTACTCAAAGCAGGCATCTTTAAAACAATAGGACAAGGTCCGTTGCTGAGTCATATAGAAAGATGTAAACTCCACTGTACATTAACAGTGATCTTCTAACATAATTGGGGAGGCGGAGGGATTTACTCTTCTGCTTATTCCCAAAGCAGATGAGTTTATGATGACTCATTCTTATCACTGAGCCAAAGGGCAAAGGTTTATCCTGCACTGCTGCAGTAATGTTCTTAGCCGTTTGCTTTGATTCCCAATGAAAACAAGCTGACAGCAAAGCATTTTATGAATATTGTACTGTCAAAACTATTTGTCAAAAACAACTCGCCATAGCAGTGAGTACTACAAAATTCACATCCAAAAGATACATATTGGTGCATGATTAAAATACATCTCCCTACTGCTATTTAAGATTATTTTAACTGAGCTTTTATGCTTAAATAAATCCCAAAACGCAGGCCCAATACTCTCTCCTGTACAGTACACAAGGACATCATGTGCTTTCATCTTTGACAGATCTCAGAAGAACTGCAAGGATTAATCTGAATATTTGGTGATCACAAGCTTGCATGTAAAGACATTTATTTTCGCTAAACAAAAAAGCTTATTTAGGATTATAGTTTTAATCAAGAATTATTCAAATTATCATTGTTGGCAGACTTATTTTTATTTGACAAAATTTAACCTAGTACTAGTGAAACTCATTTTGAAACCCTAGTGCTGTTCATCAATATAAACTAGAAGAACTATAAAAAATCTAATTTCACTACTCTCAATTCTAAGACTCCCGAGAACCACCACAAAGAATGTGATATACACTTCTGTATATACCTCTACTATGCGCATAAATACGGCCTCTTACTATATCCTAATGTTCTCAATGCATTGTTTTGCTGGATAGTTTTAATATTCTAAATAAAAAATGTTGTCAGGAATGTTGTCACTGCAACAATAGGCAATATGTTCAGACAGAATGCATGCACAAGATCAAATGTTCAAATGACACATCATGATGGAATTATAAAATGTTCCCACCTCCCACCTGGCCATGTGAGAATTCCTCAGAATATTTACTACTTGACAAACTTTCAATTCTATACACAAAAGTATCTGCACTTTAATGTGGTGCGTTTTTAGAGATTAAAACATGAGTTTTAATGTATGACTGCATCAGTCATACTGAGGGCTAAGACCTGCTTGAGACCATGCAAGACACATCACTCCTGCAATAAACACTAACTCTTTGGTACACTACTGTAGTGCAAAACATCACAAGGCAGGTAGAGGGGTAGATGTCATATGCATAAATTCTCCTTCTCCCTGTGCTCTTCAGAGATTGATCTCTGAACTCAAACTGGCAATTCCAAATTGTGAGTAAACGCATAGAAAAAAAAGAGACCATTAGTTTGAAGAACATTACATAATTAAAACACAATTACAATGATAGTTCTAAACTGATGGGGAATTGCTTCATTCATTTTTAACCATACAAAGATTAAAATATCAATTAATTCAACGTTACAAAGCATAATTACTATTTATGAGCAAAGAATGCCATCGGTATTTCACCTAAGCGCCACATACAGAAGTTGCTGACCAAACAGCAGTAATCTTGTAAATAATTTCAAGTAGTTTCCGAGACTAGATAACATGCCATTTTCCAATCCAGGAAACAACAAACCAGCTCCCAATTTACAAGTTACGTATGGCAGGGTCGGATATGGACCCGGCCTCGTGATCATGGCAAATATGCTCCCTTTACTAGATCACCAAGGTGGTTTAGTTGAACAAAAAATGTAAATATCAGTTAGAAATTAACATTATCTCCATCAGAGGCATATATTCTATTTATCATTCTTGCTTTTAAGAGTATTTTTGGAAAACAGAT